GCTCCCACAGCTCTGTCTCCTTCCTCCTGTGGCAGGATGACGCGACACTATTGTACCAGGAGATGCTACCATACGGAACTCCATGCCTCTCCCAGCCACGCTACTACTTCTGAGTATGTAAGGCACAAAGCTTCAGGTTCTGAATCTGTGCTTTCCCGCTGCAGTGGGGTGCTTCCCAGTATCACCTCCCACCTCTCCATCAAAGTTAGAAAAAAGGAGAGAAAGAGAGGTGCTCCCTCCTAACCTAGATGACAGGACAGGTGCTCAGTCACCGTCTCTGTTACTCAGCTCTGTCCTGATAGACAGAAGAGCAACTTCCATATGCATTTAATTAAGACTCCATCTCTTCTTTCTGATCGCCGTATTTGGTTATCTGTGTGTGTCTGTCATCCTAAATTCTTGCTGGTGGGGGACACATCTGAAGAGTGCTGAGTGTCAGCCAAGGAGAAAGTTGGAGCCCTGCACTGTCACTGGTGGGTGGAAGGATGGATTGGTAGGTTGACAGTATCTGAAGATAGCACCAAATGTCCGTGATAAAGGAAGGATCAGCCAAATGTGACAGCTGAGATTGACATTTTTAAGAGCTTTGAGAAAAAGGAGTGAATTGAACTCAATGGTCACTGGGGCCCCAGGAAAATCGGTCCATTAGAGCAAGTTATTAAGTTTCTGGGTCTCTGCAGCACTGGAATCCAATTTAGACTAATTCTCAGTGGGACTTGGCTCTGCCTGATACTCACCTGGCCGACATCCCAGCTACGGACAAGGCCTGCAGGCAGCACGTACTGCAGACCACAGATACACACTCAATTGCCTTGAACTTGGCTTGGAGTATGGAGTCAACAGCGAGATCCCAGCTTGCATGGTGCCTGTGGAGGGGGACAGCAGAGGCAAGGATGTATCTGGAGGATACAAAAGTCCCTTCGACCCACAGATTTTCAGTGGGAAAGGGCTGACTTTCCACCAGCTGTTTTTACTTCCTCATTACTTTGCTGCAATCATGGCTAGCTCTTGCTCACTCTGGGGACCTGGAGGCTGGGAGAATGGCCCAGGAGAGGAATCAGTCATGGATTCTCTTCTCCCACATTTCCTTCTGCACGATCAGCAGGATTCTGATCTTGGAGGTCTGGGAATTCCCCTGGGGAGTCAGAGCCCTGCTTCCTGCCACCCACAATCTCAGGCACCTGGAAGGCAGAATCAAAAAGGACCAGGTAGCAAATCAAGAGATCACCAGTTCCTGAGTAGCTTCTCTGATCGCCTTGCCGGGGAAATGCAAAGCAAAACTTCAACCAGCCAGCATCTTACCTCAGTTAGAACAGCTGTCATTGAAAAGACAAAAACTAGCAAATGCTGGTGAGGATGCAGACAGGGAATGCCTACACACTGCTGGTAGGAATGTAGATGAGTTCAGCTATGAGGGGAAAGGTATAGAGGTCCCTCCAAAAGCTAAAACTAGATCTGCCATACGACCCAGCTCTCCCATTACTGACGGTGGCCAGTGTGTTCCTCAGATGGCAGTGGACAAAGAAAATGTGGTACATGCATGCTTGCAAACACACACACACACACACACACACACATACACACACACACACACAATGGAATAATACCATTTGGCCTTAAAAATAATGAGATCTGTCATTTGCAGCAACCTGGACAGACACGGAAGACATCATGCTAAGTGACATAAGCCAGACACAGAAAGGCAAACACCACGTGTTCTCACTCCTTTGTGAAACTAAAACCATAGAGTAGAATGGTGGTCGCTAGAGACAAGGGAGAGTTGAGGGAGTGTGGCTAGAGAGAGGTTAGGTAGCCAGTGCCAAATCCAGTCAGATGGGAGAGATTCGTCCTAGTGTCCTATGCTGCAGTGGGCAACTCTAGTCCACACAAATCTATGTTTCAAAATAACAAGAAAAAGAGACTCCAGATCAATAATCAACAGAGGGATTTTTCCATTTCCAACTTCCCCAGGTCTACTGCTGGAGATTCAGACTTGGTGAGTCTGAATTCAGGGTGGGACACAGTGGGCCTCCCCCAAGGGAATTTGACAAGGAAAAGAGAAGGCACCACTGAAGCTGAGAGGGAGACACAATAGCTAGTGGCACTCTCTTCTATTTCTTTGCTGAAAGAAACTGTCAATGAGTCCTTGGTTGATCAGTATTGCATGTCTATATCTGTTTTCATGAGAAACCACTTTGAAGATATCAATATATAATACAACAAGCATTGTTAATTCCCTACCACTTTGAAGATATCAATATATAATACAACAAGCATTGTTAATTCCCTACCACTTTGTAACTCTGCATTGTCTGTACTGTTCTTTTGCTATTTTGTAAAATGTTGTCTGTCTGTTAATGTTTTCCTCCTTTTATTTTTAAAATTAAAAAAAAATAGCTAGTGGCATGGTCTCTGAGGCCAGAAAAGCCTCAAATTAAAACCTAGCTTTGCTGTGACCTTAAAAAGTCACTTAGTATCCCAAAGCCTCAGTTTGTTCACCTGTAAAACAGGTATGATAATTGCTTCCTAATAAAGTAGAGACAGAGCTCAAGGAGGTAACAAGTACAAAGTATGTAGCATGTGCCTGGCAACTATTTGGAACTGAATATAACAAATTAAATAAAATATTATAAATATTATTGTTATTATGGTCACAGTGCACTGTCCTGCTTTTTGTCATGTCTTTGTGTGCAGATGACATACTGCACCCCCCACTCACCACTGAACATATTTGGGAAGGGGCTAGCTGGCCATGGGACCCAACAGAAGTCATCAGCCAGTGCAGGGACATAGCCTCTTGCCTGATCAGCAGAGTTAACCAATGGCTTTCAGAATAATTGCCAATTACTTGGCTATTTCAAAACCCATCAACATCAGAGCTGGAAGGCCCTGTGTCCTGTCTTGTGTGGCTGGCCACTCTACGTACGGCAGCCACAGAGAACTTGCAAGGTCATGCCGGGGAGCAGTGGCTAAGACAGGACCACTGCTAAGGTCCCCCGACCCGTGGCCCCAGGCAAGCACTTTCCATCAAACCACAGCTGGGACTCTGGAGCTGGGGCCCTCACCTATCACCTTTTGCTCTTCTTGTCCCATGACCCTCTTTTCACTCTACAGTCTATCTACAAAGGCAGTCACTGTCAATCATTTGATAAAAGCCACAGCAAGCACAAAAGCCACCTCTTCTTGAGCAAACTCCCTTCCGATCAGATCCTCTGAGGTGGACAGAATATTGCAACTCTGCAGAAGAGGGAGCTGAGCCTCAGAACAGTGCATGGGCTCGGCCAGGCTCACTGGGCTGGGGACTTTGGCAGGCAGGACTCTAACCCAGATGTACCTCTGGAGTCTCAACATCCCCCACTTCGGGTCAAGAAGCCTGCTTGTCCCCTAAACGACTTTGACCCTCCCTCTTGTAGCCAATGCACCACCCAGGAGCAAATACCACGATGGTCCAGGAATGAATACTCACTGGAAGTCAGTGCTACACCCAGCACATTCATCAGTGCTGGTTGCATCCTATAGATGAAGCCACCTGCCAACTCCTGAAAGCAAATGACCCTTTCCAGAGGGTGCTCAAATAAATTTAACTGACAGTGCCGAAGGGCCCGGAGATTGGCTGAGTGAGCAAGCATCCCTCTACGGGAAATTCACACAGACAGTCATCAGTCCAAGGGCCTCTGTCCCAGGCATGCAATTTCTCTCTGTCTCTGTCCCAGTCCACAGAGGGGTTAGGGTGACAATGACAAGAGTGAAAACCTGTGAGGGCAGCTGGCACCTACTCAGCACTCACAAGTAGCGAGCACTGTCCCCAGTGCTGTGCAGACACTCACTCACTGACTGACGACAGCCCCAGGAAAGTGGGGAACAGTCGCCCCATGGGACAGCAGAGGAAAGCGAGGGTCACAGAGGGGAAGCCAGGAACGCACAACAGGAAAAATGAACCCTCAACCAAGTGAATGAAGCTGGTTTCCAACACAATTCTGCCAGACAGCTGCCTGGAGCAGCCCTTTTGTAAAATAACTCCAGGCCATCCCCTGACTCCCAGGTTTACTGAGGATTCTTTGACTTCACAGTGGTGCAAGAGCAACACGTGTGCGGTAGAAACGGTGTCAGGCATTTTGAATGTGGCTCTTTTCCCAGCTCGCACTGTGCTATGCAGCATGGCCCTCTTTTGCAATGGCAGGAACTGCAGCTCTGTCACCCTGCAATCAAGAGCAGACACTCAACACCCTGTAGTGCACCACTGCTAAGATGCTCAGCAGGTTAGGTGTGGCAGAGGCATGTTCAGTTTCTGACATTTTCACCTGTGTGCTGTGGCCTTATCTTAACTGTAGATGGTTTTACTTTCAGGACAAAAACAAATCATAAGGGTCTTACAGAGTGGGCAAGGCCCATCAGAGGCTACTCCTACTTCCCTCCCTCACCAGCTTTATCCTGTCACCCCCTGCCTGTGCTCTTTTGCAGTCCTCTTGCGCCTCCACCTCAGCCAGGCCTGCACCAGCCTCCACACATCCCTCATTTTCTGAATCTGCTTCAGGAAACAAAATAGTCCAATCTTTGTTTCTCTCATAACATTATTTTCATGTTATTTCATTAAAATGTGTTCTGCCCTGTTCAAGGCACTATAGCCCTGAGCCAGGGCACATAGCTGGGACAAGTCAGTATCGCCTAATTGACATCTCCATTCCTCCTCCTAGCTGAATATTCCTGTGCAGTGGACATTATGGGCAGCCGTACAGGTTAGAAGCCTGTCCTCTCTGTCTCCTCTCTTTCTAAGCAGTTATCACATGAAATCTGACTGTCCTCACCCTGCGTGGTACATACACAACTAAATGGGGAGACTCTTGGGATGGAGGGCTGGGAGGGAAGGAGAAGACTGAGGCGTGGGCCTGGTCAGCCTTGGGTACCAGCCTTAAGAGAGCCTGACACCCCTCAAGTCTGGCAGAGGGAGCAGTCCTCTACCTCAACCCCAAGCTCACTGTGTCTTTTCTCCTGTCTCCAAGATGCCGGCCCAGAGGGACACCCCGGCTCCCCGGGTCCCCACCTCTTGACCTCTGCAGCGTTGGAGAGCAGCAGCCTGAGCCAGGACAGCCCCGAGGACGAAGTCACCATGGCTCCGCCAAACCCCGCGCAGTCGGGGGAAGAGCTGGGCGAGCTGGAGCCGGAAGGGTCGGTCCCCTCCGCGCACCGCCACCCGGCTGCCCTATCACCGCTGCCCCCAGAGGCGGCTGGAGCGGAGCACACGCTCGCCCCCAGGAACAAGCTGCCGCTCAAGCCGGTGAACAAGGCCGGGAAGGTGCCGAGGCCCAAGACCACCTCCGCGTCCTCCTACCAGGGAGGACGTCCTCCTACCGGGGCGCACCCCACAGCCTCCGCGGGCCCGGGTCCCCGCTCCTCCTCCACTGAGAAGCCCCGCCCACCGGAGGACTTGGACGCGGGGGTCCCCTCCCAGCCGTCCTCAGAGGGGCCAGTCTGGGGGCATCGCAAAGAGGCCACAGTGCCCACGACCCCTGAGCCCCTACAGATCTCCCCCTTCACCTCAGAGCCCTTGGTGGCGCACACGCTCCTGCAGAGGCCCGCGCCAGGGGACCCGGCCTCCCACGCAGAAGAAGAGGCCCCGGAAGCTCCCCCTGAGGACGCCAGCCCTGGCACCCTCATGGACAAGGGTGACAACGATCTGACCGGGTCGGCCTCGGAGGAGAGCCAGGAGACCACCACTTCCACCATCATCACCACCACGGTCATCACCACCGAACAGGCCCCAGGTACGCAGCCCCGGCCCACTGCCTGCCGTGGCAGTGGCTGGGGAGCCCCCCACCCCACCAGGCCAGAGTCTGGCTCTGTAGCTCGGATTAACATCCCCATTTTTCAAGATGATACAGCTGAGGTTCTGAGACTCCAAAACCACACGGCTACCTTTTCCCGTTACATTTGGACCTCAGGGTCTGTGGTCCCCTCTTGTCCATGCGCTCAACCAAGCACTCAAAGAAAACATTCAGAAAAAGAAGAAAGAAAAAAAAAAAAAAAACTGCCTCTGTGCTGGACCTGTGCATGCTTTTTTCTCGCCATTATTCCCTGAACTCAGCATTCACTTTGTCTTAGTTGTGTGTATTCTGGAGATGATTTAAAACCTGCCAGGAAGGGTGCCGAGGTTCTGTGCAAACGCTAAACCACTTTACAAGAGGGTCTCGTGCCCCTGTGGTCTCTGGTATCCCAGGGTGTCCCGGAACCAAGCTCCGGTGACTATCAAGGCAGGAGTGCCCGGGTGTTTCTCTAGCCTTGGGCTGACACAGGTGTGTGTTCAGGTCTTGCTTCCACAGGCACAGGGCCCCAGCTGTGAGGCACACATCAATTTTAGGCAAACATAACATGGTTTCTCACTGCAGTCTAAGCTCTGGGGCTGGGGTGCAGCTCAGTGGTGGAGCTCTTGCCAATTGCAGCACTGATTTTACAAAAAAAAAAAGGAGTAAGCTCCTGAATCATGCTTGCTGTGTGAGCTTGGCCTGGACACAGCCCCTCTCTGAGCCTCTCATGTGGTTCTAACATGGGAGTGTAACATCAGCGTGCATGAGGGTAAGTGGTGTCACCCGCAGGCTGGTTAGAGTGGTGCCGTGGGGGCAGGAAGACAAGGCGGCCCTTAGAGGCCAGTCCCAATCCACAGCCCATCTGTGAGTTTATGTTGATGTGGTCCTTGGAGTCCTAATTAAAGCCTTCCCTCCCCCCAGCTCTGTGCAGCGTGAGCTTCTCCGACCCTGAGGGATACATCGACTCCAGTGATTACCTCCCGCTGCCCTTCAACAACTTCCTGGAGTGCACGTACAATGTGACGGTCTACACTGGCTACGGGGTGGAGCTCCAGGTAACCCTGAAAGGGCACCTGCAGTAGTTGCCTTTTCTAATGGAATTCATTGGAGCATTGTCTGAGTCAGGCTTATTATTGGTATCATGCTAATGTATTTGTTTTCGTCTTAGCTCTAACCAAGGCTATTTTAGACAGGTTTTGGTGAATGAGTAGGAGTTCCCAAATAAGTGCCTTGCTGAAATAGCTTGGAACACATGGAAGACGCGTGTTGCTGAGTTCAAGGCATTTTACCCAGAATGACAGTCCCTTGATACCCTGCTTATCAAACACATGCGTGCGCGCACACAGACACGCGTATGCACGCACACGCACCATCTGTTCAACCTCCCTGTGGTACAACCACAGATGGCCTTCCTTCCTTTTCCACTCCTGGAAAGTGGAAATTACAAAGCAAGTGTACAGTTTTTTAGAAAAGGGATTGGTTCCCCTGAAGTCAGAGCTCCACCTAGGAGGAAAAGCTTCCCTAGAAGGGAAGCCCCCACCCCACACTCGTCAGTTCCTGCAGAAGACGGGAGAGTGGATTCAATTCTTCTTTACAAGTGGGGATCAAAAATTGAGTGAATGTCTACATTTTAACACTTTCATTACAGTAACAGACACACTACTATTAATCCCCCTCAAAATAGTTCCCCTTGCTTCAGACACGCTTATCCCATCATTCTTGCCACTTTCTGAAGCAGTTCTGAAAGTTCTTTCTTGTGAGTGTCTTTTAGATGTAATAAAGAAAAACATGGTGAATGCGGCTGCAGAGTGGCAAACAGAAAGGAAGCAATGAAAACATTGCAGTGTGTCCTCATCTACCTTATTCACCCCGTCTGGCACTGTCTGACATCTGGCTCTCCCCCAAAGTCCCAAGGACCACTTGGTGTCCCAGCAATCAGCACTGGTTGGGTGTGACTTTGGCATCCTGCAGGGACCCTGTCTCTAGCACAACTCAGCACTCTCTGTCCTACCCCGCCTCTCCCAGGTGAAGAGCGTGAACCTGTCGGAGGGGGAGCTGCTCTCCATCCGAGGTGGGGATGGCCCCACCCTGACTGTCCTGGCCAACCAGACACTGCTGGTGGAAGGCCAGGTGATCCGGAGCCCCACCAACACCATCTCTGTCTACTTCCGGACCTTCCAGGATGATGGCCTCGGCACCTTCCAGCTGCACTACCAGGGTAGGAGGGGCCGAGGGGGAGGAGAGAGAGGTGTTTGTCTTCATTTCCCTCTGGACGCCAATTCTCATACTTTTTGTGCCAAGGACCACCCCGGTAGTTTGCTAAAACTATCAGACCCCTTCTCAGAATAATGTTTTTAAGTGCACAAAATCAAGCATATGCAATGTTAAGAAGACAGTCATAGTGCATTACAGTTGTCAAAATATTATTCTAATCTACGGGTGATAACCCTTGTGCTTCTTTATTGAGTAACATCTAGTGGTTCTGATAATTACTTTAATTTCAAGGTAACAAAAAGCATATGAAACAAGTCAAGATATACATTATGATATGAACTCCTCTGGGGCTTCTGTTGTCAACAAAGTGTCAGGTTCCACTGCGACATTACAGTCGGATGCCTGCAGTCGTGAGGGAAGGACAGAGGCAAGTGCAGTCGGGAGTTAATGAAGATAAGCGAGCTGCTCTTCAGGATTCAAGCTCATGGCTCCTGGAGTCCATCCATGGCCTCCCAGCTGGTGTAGAGAGCCCGGGGAAGGGCTCAGCCACCAGCTCCCTCCCTCCCCCTCCCTCTCTCCCTTCCTCTCCCTCCCTGCCTCTCTCCCTCTCTCCCTCTCTCCCTCTCTCCCTCTCTCCCTCTCTCTCTGTCTTTCTCTCCCTCCACTTTTCCTTTCTTCCCTTTCTAAGTGTCCTATTTGCCTTCTGCCACTCTTCTCTTCTCTCTTCCTTCTCTCTTTTCTTGCTTCCTTTGTTTCTTCCTTTCTTCCTCTCCTCACTCCCTGCCCACCCTCTGTCCTCTCTTCTCTCCCTCCCTGTCCCCTTTCCCTCCCTCCTTCCATTCTTCCTCACCACCCTACTTTGGTCCAGTGCGTGACTCAGCTGTCCCTCCCCTTGACGACATGCTCGCTCCCCTCCCTTGGATGTCTGCCGCTGCTGAAATGTCTGCAGGGATCCCAGGGCTGCCAGCCACACATCTGGATTCCAAGGACCCTCTACGAGTACAGCACATTGCTCAGACATCGGGAAAAACCATTCATTCTTAACTTCTCTCTCAGATGTGTGTGAAGCAGGAGGACCTTCCTCATGTCTTTGCAGTATCGAGACCCCCTTGGGTTGTCGTTGTGGATTTTGAATATGAGAAAAATAGTTGTTTGAGCCATGAATTTGCATGGATTCCTCCTAATGCATTGGGAAGGAGAATGTGCATATTCTATGCTCCGGAAGAAGTCAGATCACGGTCCCGGGGTAGAGTTGGAATGAATGTGTCATTTTATGACAATTGAGTTCAACCGACTTACACATCCTTTCATTGCCCACGGAGTGAGGGCTAACTCTGTGCCAGGCGCTATACCCAGGGGATTCTCCTGCGGCACCACCTTCCTCTTTAGTGCTGCCTGTGAGATGGGAGCGATTATCAGCTGCGCTGGAGGTGACATCAGGGGCTGAGTCAGTACCTCCAGGCCACAGGCCTCTGGGCGGCACAGCAAGCGTGGGAACGCTCAGTGGTGTCCTCCACAGCCCGTGCCTGGCCTCGCAGGCCAGTTGCTGTAACCTCCACAGCCCCAGGTGTTTCTCAAAAGGCTACTCCAAGAATCTGCACTTTTAACATTTAAACCAGCCCACTAAGGTGTGCAGATGCGACCAACCTAGCTGAGCGTTCTTGCCTCTCCTCGGCCTGGAGAGAAGGGCGTGCAGAGAGAAAGGCACTAAAGAGCACAGCGGCTCATTTTTTCACCTCAGAGCTGCTCTCCCTGGTCGGCAGCGGGGAGTTCTGAGCCCCGAGAAAGTGCTGATCTGGCAGCTTCCGCACCGTGACCAGCGAGAGGCGCCGGAACGCCCTCGTCCCGCCCCGAGGGCCCCCACGCTCCTCAGTACAGCTCGCCTGGGGATGTGGGTCATGTTCTCCACCCACCCCACCCCTGCCACCCGCTGCCGCAGGATGACAGCGTCGCCCTTGTCTTCCTCCCCAGCCTTCATGCTGAGCTGCAGCTTTCCCCGCCGGCCCGACTCTGGGGACGTCACGGTGATGGACCTGCACTCGGGCGGGGTGGCCCACTTCCACTGCCACCCGGGCTACGAGCTGCAGGGCGCCAAGATGCTGACGTGCATCAATGCCTCCAAGCCCCACTGGAGCAGCCAGGAGCCCGTCTGCTCAGGTAGGCGACAGCCCAGCCAAACGCAGTGGACCCACTGAAAGGGGATGGGCCAACCCCCAGGACATGGGGAGTGACCTGGAGCGCGGCTCTCAACCCAGAACGGACCACTCTGACCTCAAGTGCTGCTACCACTGAATCATTTTAATTGGGGTAAAATACACATTACATGAACTTTCCCGTCAGAGACACTTCACACTTCTGAGATGTTGTTCAGCTTTCAGGTCTGTCCAGCTCTTTCTATCCAGACAAACCTGTACCCATTTACCATCAGTATCCTTTCTCCCTCCCCGGCCCAGACAAGTCTGTTTTCTGTCTCTATGGGTTTGTTTACAGGGGCTATTTCATGTAAGTACCGTCCGACCATATGTGAGTGTTGTGTCTGGCTTCTTTCATTTGCCATTACATCGTCAAGGTTCATCCATGTGATAGCACAGGCTGGTACCTCATCCCTTTTTAGGCCCGAACAATATTCCACTATATGGAGCTCCCACATTTTGTTTATCCATGCATCACTGGGTAGACATTTGAATTGCTTCCATCTGTGAACGCTCGTGAGTAATGCTGCTGTGAATATTGGCATGCGAGCTTTTTGTGGATGTAAGTATTCATTTCTCTTAGATGCATACTTAACAGTGGAATTGCTGGGTCACAGGGTTTAGCTTCTGAGAAAGCATTACACGGTTTTCCACAGCAGCTGTGCCAGTTCTTTCTCCACCAGCGTCTTTCCACAGGCCGCCCCTCTGTGCACATCCTGGCTGACACTTGCCACCTTGCTTAGTGCGTTGCTATCACTGCCAACCTGTTTGGCTTTGAGTTGCATTTCCCTGAGGGCTGAGGATGTCATGCGCTGTTGGCCATTTGTGTATCTTCCTTAAAGAAATGTCTGTTCAGGGCCTTTGCCCTTGTTTAACTGGGTTGTTTGTTTTTTGTTGTTAGGTTGTGGGAGCTTTTTCTATATTGTGGAGGGTAAATCCTCATCAGATCCAGGGCTTACAAATATTTTCCTCCATTCCATTGGTTTTTCACTTCTTGACAGCACCATTTGATGCGAAAGCATCATTGAGTATTAATATTGATTAAATCTAATTCACCTGTTGTGTCCTTTGTTGCTTGTGCTTTGACTGTACCTGCTGTCTTTTTGTGTTTTTATTTTGCTTTGTTTTGTTTTTGAGCCCAGCCACTGTGTGCTGAGCAGCACGCCAGAGGCCACAGTTAATTGCTCAGACCAATCCCAGGTGATGGAAACATTATTCCTATGTTATAGGCTGGGCTCATAGAGGTCATGTCACTTTCTCAAAGTCGTCAGATACTTTGGTTTCTCTTCAGATCGTATAAATCTTTCACCTTTTTCAAAGTCACCAGATAGGAGTTGGTGAGGTAACTTGCTAACACAGTTTCCAAGAGTGAAGGGAAGTGGACCTTCTAGGCCCACAGATAGAACCCAAGACCTCAGAGGCAGAAGGGGGAGGCACATGTGGCTTTCTGTCCCCCAGAGCCTTTCCTGTCTGTATGATCACTCAGCAAACACCCCACAAGCACCTGCTGTGCCCACAGCCCCATGAGTGGCCTGGGTGAGGCCCTGCCCTGGCAGTTCCCAGTCTGGTGCAGGCCGTGGAGGTGAAGGAGCAGGCGTGGCAGTCACAGACTGCAGCGAGTACCGGACAGAGACCACAGGGTGCGATGGTGCAGAGTGAGGAGGGACTGAAGGGCCACCAGTGACCAGTATGACAGGCGCTGCCTTGGAGAAAAGGCACCAGCTGGCGGAGGAGATGGAGGTCTGACCTAGGCACCAGGAAGGAGTCCCTGAGGGCAGGGCTCTGAGACCAAGACCAGAATGCCAGTGGGAGGTAACTGGGCCAAAGGTAATGGTCCTGAAGTGGGAAGGAAGTCAGAGTGAGGGGAAGTGAAAAAGGACTGATGTGGCCTGGACATCATGGTGCACATGTGATCCCACCACTGTGAGAGACTGAGGCCGGAGGACAGCAAGTTTGAACCCAGCCTAGACAGCTTAGAGACTTAGAGAGATTCCATCTCAAAATAAAAAATACAAGGGGCTGGAGATGTAGCTTAGTGCAAAGGCCCTGGGCTCAGGCCCCAGTAACACACACACACACACACATACACACACACACACACACACACACCTGGCTACAGCACAGAGGAGATGGCAGGACAGGAGCTGGGTCAGTGTCAGTACATGGGTTGCTCAAGGCTGCAGGCTGAAACACAAGGCAGGACAAGGCCAGCGACACCTACTGGAGTTTTGGAGTAGAAGAGGTCCCTCTGGCTTCCGTGTGGCAGTCAGCCATTGGAGGTGGGTGTGGCCCCATGGTGATCAGTTAGGACAACGTCTATGGTGTCACATGACATGGGGGAGGGCTTCATGTCACGGGGGAGGTGATGCAGTGTGACCAGAGAGTCACAATTTAGGGGCAATGAGCTGACAGCACGGTGCTTTTCCCCAGGGCTTTTCCTCTCCCAACTCCACTACTCAAAGCATGGTCCTCCAACCACTGAGATGCGTAGAAGGGCACCATCCAGGGCTGTGCAGCTCCCCTGAAACAGTCTGCTGTGCAGTGCTGGCTCTGCATGGCCGGTGCACGTGTGGTCATTTGGGAAGCACCGAGAGGTGCTGTGCGCTCCCTGCACAGCCTTGACCCTCTCAGCTATAAAGGACTCTCACAAGCCTGACAATGGCCATCAAAGTACAGATCACCTGTATTAACTGAGTACCTACTATGTGCCAGGCTCTACTATGTGCCAGGCTCTCAGCCCTGCACAAAGAGAATCAGGGAATAACACAACATAATATCTGCTGTCCAGGCATTCATTGTCAAGTGGAATCCAAAGAGCAAATAAGAGCTGATGATCACTCACCAGATTTAATTGTTGCAATATTGTTCCCCCAAGGCCCTTAGAATTTTTTTCTTTCTGTCCCTTTTTTTAAACAAAAGAAAAAATTCAAACTGCAGGGCAGTTGGTTTGCGCGCCTCTCGCATGTTAATTTTTATCTATGTGTGAAATCAGGGAGGAATTAAGCAGCAATTTGTGCTAAGAAAGATGGATGGGGAGTCATGACTGGCAAATTGAAGCCAAACAGAGCCATCAGTTGGCTTAATAAGGCAAAGAAGGGACAGAGAGGCAGCAGATGAGCAGCTTGCAGAGGACAGATGGCCGCCGCGCCCCATCAGGGACAGTGTCCTCCACCTTCAGCTCCCAAGCCACCAGACAATGGTGCTGGCCAGGTCTTGAGCACCCCTTCCTGCCAGGGTGGCAGAAGGATCTCTGGCTGTGTCTCCCTTCACCAAGCTCTCACTGCAGTCCTAGAAGGAGAGTGCATTGTTAGCGCCATTCAATGGGAGGTGAACTTGCAGCTCAGAGAGCTTAGGTCACTTGTTCTAGACCCACAGCCAAGGTTCACCTCTAAGATTGGCTAACTTGAGAGGCCAGTCTATCCACACAGGAGCCTGGAGTGAGGAAGGAGCCTTGACCCCATGCCCTGTCTATGGTCCTGCAAGAAGTGTGGTGCTCCTTGGCAATATCTTTGCTGAATGTCATAGCAAAGTCCAGAGCAAAAAGAACAATCCACTTCTCTTCTACTGCAAATCTTATTCAGTCATGTTATTCAACAAACACTCAACGTCTATTCTACTGTGTCTTGTACATGGAGCTGGTGCTGGAGGTGCAAAAGAGAAAGAGAATATTCATTGTTTTCCTTTCACCAAACATTTATAAATCATCCACTATATTCCATGTACCTTTCTGGAACTGTAGAATATCATCATGAATATGACATGAGCTGGGGTAGTAGTTTCCATAGCAGATGCTGGAGTGAAGCACCCTGGGTTGGGTCCTGAGTGCACTTACTAGCTGTGTGTCCTTGAGCAAGTGACTTAACTTCTCTGAACTTCTTCCTTTGAAAAAGGAACAGTTCCCATTTGCTCTGTAAATATTCACTGAGTGCATAGTCCATGCCAAGAACTCCTCTGGTGCTGGTGGTACAATAACAGCAGCAGCAGCAGCAGCAGCAGCAACAACAACTAAACCCAGCTATTGCAAAACTTAGACTTTATCAGAGTGATGCCAGTGAAGCAAATTTGTCAAAGACGGATGTTCTATTTCGAGTTGGTGGTAGGAGAACTGAAGAAAAATTGGGCGGCAGAAGAGGGGGAGAGTGAAAGGCAAAACTTGAACAGAGTCCCGATGCGGATGACGGGAAACGAGGAGAAGGGCTCTGTGTTAGCATAAGTGCGTGTGAACTTCAGCCTCCTATGATCCGATTCCAAATCGTTGTGCCAACTTTTGTTTCCGGTGCTTTATTCCTCTGAAAATGGAGGTGGAACCTTGGTTAGGACCTGTGTCTAGGAAGGGAGTATTTTTGAGCTCTTTAATGCTCTTGAAGGGTGGCGGTGACTCCCAAAGGGTATTGGGGGTTTTAGCACTCACCACCTGGCACACCACACCCTCCCTCCCGCACTGACCACCGCTCCAACCAGCTCTCCCCAGCCAGGAAACTCAGAACAGCTCTCCCGAATAACACTCCGGAAAACAATTTCCCAGGAACCAAATAGCTCCTGAAACTAAGAATCCGAATACACCTGATTTGTGAACCAGAAAAGTATGACTCCTTCTGGACCACAAATCACTTTTTGATAGTTCTTTATTAGATTTTTTATGATAAAAGTTATATATGGTTCTGGTAAAGAAATTCTTTCAAGAAATACGAAAGTGTAAAAGATAGAAGCAAATCACTTTTGTATTCATGATCTCAACTGATCCATGCAAATAGCTCATTGAAATCGATATGACAGCCCATTTTCTAACTTGTTTTTCTCACTTAAAACGTTGTGAGCATTTTCTTATACCCCTCAATATTCTTTGAGAACATGGTGCTTGGTAAGTTCATGGGTAGAGTATATTTATTTCACAAACATTTGTGAGTAGATATTTGTGTTATTTTTTTTTTTTGGTTTTAACTCCTAGAAAGAAGCAATGAATATCCTCATTCATAAATCTGCATGCAAATCTCTGAATCTTTTCATAGGATAAGTTCCCAGAAATCTAATTTAGGTCAAAGTATCTGAACACATTTTCCAGACTTTTCATTAAATCCCCCTCATAGTTTGCATTCTAATGAGTCATGAACAAGACTGGTCATTTCCCTGTAGCATCTCTGGATCTTACTGCTGCTTTTCATCTTGGCCAGTTAGGTGGCTAAAAGCAGTATATACTTCACCTTTGCATTTCTTGTATCATTAGAGGCTGAATTGAGTTAGTGCTTTCTGAGCACTAACCCTATATTTCTTCATTTGTGAGCTGCCTATTTATGTCCTTGATTACCACTTTGTAAATAAAAGTTAGGGCACTCTGGCTCCATCGTGTCCTTATCTGAGTCCTCCCCACCCACAGTGATGCACTCGTGTTGATGGCACCAGTCATGGGGGGATCTTCTGCCCCAGGACAAATCCCTCTGGACTCTCCTCCACAGTATTTCTGCCCAGTCCAGGCTGGTCCCTTATGTTTCCTCCTAGCTAGGGGTGGTCTGGGACAGGAGAGAATGAGTCTGTCTGTCTGTCTGTCTGTCTCTCTCTCTCTCTCTCTCTCTCACTCACTCACTCTCTCCCTCTGCATTCTTTCCACCTTTACTTTCTGGACCCAGCCCCTTGCGGAGGAGCAGTGCACAACGCCACCATCGGCCGTGTCCTCTCCCCCAGTCACCCTGGAAACAGCAATGGGAGCCAGTTCTGCGTGTGGACCATCGAAGCACCCGAGGGGCAGAAGCTGCACTTGCACTTTGAGAGGCTGTCGCTGCATGACAAGGACAGGTAAAGCCCTAGGAGGTACAGTCCTAGCGGGCACAGCCCTGACAGGCACAGCCTCCCCATGTTCAGCTGCTTTCCCTCCCAGAGCATCAGAACGTCCCTGGGGATTCAGAGTCTTGAAATGGCAAAAACTTTGGCTCCTGGACTCCAAAGAGATGGAGCTGAGGAGGCTGGCAAAGACCCTAGTGTCCTTCAGCTCCCGTTTTCCCCTTTTCTGATAAGGAAAGTCATACACACCAGGAAGAGGACCTGCCCAGGTCACACAGCAGGTCACGGGAAGAGGTGGGAGGGAGTCATGCCCCCATTCTGCTGCCTCTTCTCTCTCCTGCATGTCACATTTTGCAGCTGGACCAGGGGGCAGTGCCTCAGGGCGCCCGCTCCTGTGTGGCTCTATGGCAGAGATTGGCTCCAGTGTGACAGGACGCTGACATGGGAAAACTGGGCCGGTGCACAGGGAAGAAGGAGAGAGACCTTGGCAGGCAGCATGGAAGCCATAGCATATCTGCAGGCTCTGTGGAAAATGCACAGAATCCAGAATTGCAAAACTTTCCCACTTTGTTCCAGCGGACTGTAGGAAATGAGGAGCTCCCTGCTTAGCCTTGCTGCCTGAGGCAGGGTCCCACTAGAGGCAGGCGTGTGACCAGGATGTGAGGGACGGTAGATTTGGGAGTGGGTCCTCCTGGGCACTGGTGGGGCCGGGAAAGGCAAGTGGAGAGCCCAAGGCATGTTAGCGTTGTGAACTGCATGCAGGGGTTTGGGGACAGCTGCAATTGTACCCATGGGAGCCCCTGGGGTAGGGTGTGCTAGTGGTCCTGCTGGCAGGATTCAGGGGGCCAGGGGGGCTGTCCACAAGCCCCAACCTGCCACCAGGAGGAGAGGTGCTCCTGGTGTACAAGCTCCCTGGCACTGCTGCCACCCTCTGAGCTGGCTGGGCTGGAGGACCCTTGGGGACTTTGGGTGGGCAGGAAGCAACAGTGCCCATGGGAACATGGACAGCTGGGAGGAGGCAGTGTTACCATGTTCTGCCCTTCTGGGATGCCAGCGCCTCAGAACCACGAAACCTAACACGTTGTGGTCACAATTCTTTTGTCGTGGCATCTTCAACAGAAGGGGAGGGGTTCCTGTGTGGCTTCTTGGCGACATCAGAATAGCCCATGGATCCCCAGCCCTTCCTCCTGGAGGCTCTGATATGGAAGCCAGGCATGGAAACCCTGGCAGAGAACACTTTCAGCCTCGGGTCTGCCTGTTCCAGAGGCACTGGCGATGAACAGAGCTGAAGTTCACACCAGACATGGAGAAGGAGTAGAGACCAAAATCAGTGTTGTCTGAAAGCTGTTTGGAGCCTCACAAATGGGCCAAAGGAACACACAGGCACTGCTCACTCCTAGCCTTGGCTGGACCTGCAAAGAGCTATGGAAATCACCAGGGAAACTGGTCCTCAAGGTGCCAGTGGGAGAGGAAGATTGTAGTCGTTCCCGAGGTTAAAGGTCAGGATGCACAAAAGGATGGGTGGAGATCGGGGCCTGTGCCAAGGACAAAGGAGGAATGTGTGGCATCTGACCGGGCACTTTATGCAGTAAAAATGGCTGAAACACCACAGTAGGTCAGTTGCAAGAACTCAGAGCTTGGTAAGACTTCACATAAGAATTGGGACTTTGATGTAAACCTTGGAAAGAGATCTGATAAAGGAAGCCAAAAATTTGGTGGAAAGCATGTTCCAGCTGTGGAGACTCAAGGCGGGCAGAGAAAGATGGAAAGAGAAGAATTAGTGAGACCGTTGCACAGGGTGCTGTAGCAAAGGTTAGAGCTGGAAAGGGAAATGGGAGTTCTATCCTGAAGACCTTAGCATAACAGGCTATTTCCATAGATAATAGGGAGCCTTGAAGGGATTTTAAATAGAAAAAAAAATATATGAAGAATTTTACATGATTTCCTCCCAAACTGATGACTTTCTACACTCCTGTTCCATTACAGGCAGCGTACAAGGTGGGTTATGTGCTCAAATGTGTTTGGGCGAGTGTGCCTACCCTATATCCCTGTCTTGGAAGCTCCTACTACCTGCATTAGCCAGCAAAGGCACTGATAAGTTCCACAGGGAAACAAAGTTTGATTTTTGTTTAACCCAGCATTTCCCACACCTATCTACCACGAACTGCATAAGGATTTGAGACAAAACATTACTATGGCAGATGTTCTAAGAAACACAGCTCTAAAAAAATCTATTTTTAGAATATGAATGGACTTTAGAGATTTCGGGATCTTAGCGTTTTCTCCCAAGTGACCTTCCTTACTGAAGCCTTCTTTTCTTTGAAAGAAGATTCTGGGCACACAGCAGAATTATCAGGGGTCCGAAGTGGAGGTGCCCTCTCCCCGAGAAGCCTGACCTTGACCACCTCCTCTCCCATTGCAGCCATCTGAACATGGGGCAGAGAACAAACTGTAGCTCCAGCGTCTATGCATCCTGGGGGCATTAGAAATACATCCCGCTGGCATGGAATAAACCTTTTTTATGTGAGCAGTAAAGAAAAAAAAAAACCCTTACTGGATTAAATATGTGTGTTTATAACTCCATAAAAGAAATTTACCTAATCTGTGAACTGTTTTCTCCCCTACTTTGTCATAATTTCATTTAAACTTCCTGGCCTAGCAAGGAGTCAAGTATTGCATAGTTTTCCTAACAATAAAAATGAATGCCCAACCATTTTTCTAACCCATTTTCATGTCCAGGGCACTTGATTCTGATATATTGTTGAAGTCCACCTGTAAGATAGGAAGGAAAGACTTTAGGAGCCCTCCTTCCACAGCTGGGAACCTGAGGCCCAGAGATATTCTGAGAGTCATGTGAACTCAGTTGGTGGGAGCAGGGGACCGGAAATGAGGGCTATTGTCTCCCTATATATCCCTCCTGGGAAATGAGGGTCAGAGACAGAGCCTGATAGCAACCCACACTTTATAAATAGGACTTACACCTACTCCGCTTGGGACACTACACCATGCACTCTGAGGAAACTCAAGTGTACCCACCCTACAGATGAGAAGCAGAGTTCAGAGAGATAAAATGTTCTGTCCTAAGTCACACACCTTGGAAGTTACAGACTTGGGACTTGCCCTGGTCTGCCTAACTGTGGTCCCAGTAATGATCATAGTCTGTTAATCCCAACTTCTTAATTAATAAAAATAACCAACATTCATAAATTCATCTGATTCATTCATTATATCATACACATCATTTTCCTTGCAACTTCTGAATACATCTGTAAAAAAATCCAGGAAAAGGTGAACCTAGTGATACATTCCTATAACCCCAGTTACTCAGGAGGCTGAGGCAGGAGGAGCACAAGATTGAGTCTGGCCTGGGCAACTCAACAAGACCCTGTCTCAACATAAAAAATAATAAAGGGCTGGGGGTGTATCTCAGTGCAAAGGTCCTAGGTTTAAACCCTACTACTTCAAAAAAAAAAAAAAGACAGAAAAAGAGAGAGAATGCAGGGCGAGCAGTAATCTATTCCACAGAGGAGGAAGGAGGTTTGACCGGGTGAAGCAGCCCCGTGCTGGCAGCAAACAGGCCCAGGTAGGGCTCGAACCCGGGAGTGGGACCCGCGTGGTGGTGCAGCACAGCCCCCACACCGTCAGTGACCCAGGCCCACCGCTCAGCGACGCCCTCTCCTCTCTCCCTGCAGGATGGCGGTGTACAGTGGGCAAACCAACAAGTCCGCCCTGCTGTACGACTCCCTGCAGGCCGACAGCGTCCCCTTCGAGGGGCTGCTGAGTGACAGCAACGGCATCCGCATCGAGTTCTCCTCCCACCAGGGCCAGGTGGCCTCAGCCTTCAACATCCGCTTCGAGGGTGAGGGTCGTGGGAGCCCGGGAAGCAGCGGCCAAGGGCGTGCCTGGGAGGAGAAATACGCCTGCTGAGGAGGGGCCCTGGCAGGCGGATTGAGTCTTCAGTTTCCGAGGGCAAGTGGCCAGGGATATAACTCAGTGGTGGAGAACCTGCCTGGCAAGCTCAATGTCCTGAGTCCGATTCCTGGTACCTAAAAAAACAAAATCCAAGGGCAGATGTTTGGTTTTATTCATAGCAATGCTGAACACAGATTACACATCTGGGCCCTGTGTGCGTGTGTGTGTGTGTGTGTGTGTGTGTGTTATGTATCGGTGATTAAACCCAAGTCCTCCCTTTGAGCTACATCCTCAGTCTCTCTTTATTCATTTATTTTTATTTTATTTTGAGATAGCTTGTCACTAAGTTCCATAGGCTAGCCTCAGATTGGTGATCCTTCTGCCTCAGCCTCCTGAGTAGCTGGAATTAACAGCCATGCACCACCCAACATGCCCGGGGTTTTCTATGACCCTCACCACACTGAATTATTAGAAACATTATCATGTCTGGTTTTAGGTGAGGTACCAGGGCCTGGGGTAGCTTGCCCAGGCATCAGTTAGTCAGAGCGGAGCCTGAGATTTCTGGGCAGCCTGCACTGGTCCTCCCACTCTGCCCCATCCCACCCAGCCGGGCCCCTGAGGGCCCAACCACCCCCTGCTCCCAGCAGAGTTATGGGGCCTAGAAGAAGGCTGCTCCGTGTTTCATGCTCCCTGAGCACTTTCTGCCCTGGCTCCCCAGGGAAAGATGGCCTCGGCCATAGACAGACTGCAGCTTCCTTTGGCCAGTGATGGGCCATGGGGAGGATGCTGGCTTTTTACACAGGAGAGCAGGGAGGTCCCCAGAATCCAAGCACTGGGCTGAGGGCAGGCTCTAGTGGGTCAGTGGGAATCAGAACACACCTTGAGGTCTTCATTTCTCCTGGAGCTTCCCATCCCTCCCTCCCTTTGCACTGAGCAACAACCCCAGCCTTTATTTTTTATTCTGAGACAGGGTCTCACTAAGTTATTAAATTGCCCAGACTGGGCTCAAACTCCCCATTCTCCTGCCTCAGCCTCCAAGAGAGCTGAGATCACAGGTGTGCACCACTACACCCGCTCCTTGGAGGTCTTCTGAGCAGCGGGAGGGAACTGCCTTCTAAAGGAAGCATGAGAGACTCATCCCGGCCGCTGCCTCTTTTGTGTCCCCGTGCAGCTTTTGAGAAAGGCCACTGCTACGAGCCCTACATCCAGAACGGGAACTTCACCACGTCCGACCCGACCTACAACATCGGAACGGTAGTGGAGTTCACCTGTGACCCGGGACACTCCCTGGAGCAGGGCCCAGCCATCATCGAGTGCGTCAATGTGCGTGACCCCTACTGGAATGACACGGAGCCCCTGTGCAGAGGTGAGTGGGCGCTCTCGGAGCCTCACCCCATTGGCCTCAAAGCAGGGCTGGAGTGCGCATGCCCTTCCCATGGCCCACCATCCTTCGGGTCAGGCTTGCTGCTGGTCCTTGGGGAAAGTACAGAATGGATAAATTCTCAAAGGTGCCCCTTCCTCCAGGGACAGGACCCACAGGGCACAGTTTTCAAGCAGATCCCTGCATGGATGACAGCTCTGAAATACTCCCCCTGCTGTACACCTTGGTGCAGTGTACAACTCACCCAATAGCACAGGGCAGCCCTGGATCTCATTAATGGGCTAATAATAGATGTAAATAGGTGTGCAATAATTCTATTGCAGGCACTCTGCCAAGGGCTGTATGTTCATTAGCTGACTTCATCCTCACTGTGAGTCTATGAAGTAGATATTATTAGCCCTGCTTGCAGATGAGAACAACGTGAAGTGACATTCCTAAGAGCACACAGGGTACCTGGCAGAGACAAGAGTGGAACCTGGGTCTCCCTATTCTCAGAGGCCTGTGCTTTGAGCCCTCTGTACCCCACTGGCTGGGTGGAGCCCTCCTCTGCACGGGCTCCCAGGGTCCTGGCCTCCCCTGGCCCCACCCATCCCTGGGCTGCTGAGCCGACCTGGGCCTGGCGCTCCTGGCGGCAGGTGCAGTCATGCAAGATATCCTCACCCCTGGCAGCCACTGCCTGGTTGGCGCTGGAATGAAATCACACTCGTGCCGTGGTGAGGAAGTGATCCCTGTATTAAATGTGCTGGTTTAACACAGCGGAATTTATTGGTGCTTTGGCCTCAGCCACGTTGAGAAAGCGGTAAGCTTTCCAAAGCGGTAAGCAGAGTGGAATTTAAAGGGCACCAGACGTGGCCGCATCTCTGCTTCCCTCCCAGGGTTGGAACCTTCCACAGCTACGTTACCCAGACCAGTGAGCGCTTGCCACGGGCCAGGCACGATGCTGCGTGCTCAGCGCCCGAGCGTAGTCAGGCCTCGTGCGAACAGCCGTGGTATTTCCCCCGTGATGTGGAGGAAGCAAGCTGGCACTCCAAGAAATTATGCACCTTGTCACCAAGCCTGCTGTTGGCAAAGACAAGACTGTACCCCGGGTCCCTGACATGAGTGCACCATCTGGAGTCCACCAGAGCCTGCAGAGAGGCTGGGCTGCTGGACTGGCTCTGCCCTTTGGGCTCTGTCCTTGGTGCTGAAAGCGCTACCCGCTCTTAGCCCAACCCCGCCAGCCTGCAGCCCAAGAGCAGGCAGGGGCCATCTGGCCATCTGTCACCTGACCCACGGACACTGATGGATGCAAAGGCGCCTGAGTGCGGTAGGAGGGGCCCACAGTCTGACTCAGCTCATGCCCCCAACTACTGTGCCTTCTTTGATTCCTTACAAATAAAGTCTGTCTCTCTGTCTGTCTTTTCCAGCTATGTGTGGTGGGGAGCTGTCTGCTGTGGCTGGGGTGGTGCTGTCCCCAAACTGGCCAGAGCCCTATGTGGAGGGTGAAGACTGTGTCTGGAAGATCCACGTAGGGGAAGAGAAGCGGATCTTCCTAGATATCCAGTTGTGAGTGCTTTATTGGTGCCCCCCCACACACACACACACTCCAATCCAGCTGGGTTGGGCAGATCGGGAAAGAAATTGTTCCTGCTTTATTCTTTCAACCAATATTAATGAAGCATCTACTATGTGCCAGGGCCTGGGCACAGCCCTGGCACCCCACGGTGGGACTGGCAACAGCAGCAGCTTACACAAGCAGAGTCCCTCTCTTCAGGAAATCCAGTCACTAAGACATCAGATTAGCACATGCACAAAGAATTGCACACTGTAACTTCAGTAGGCAACATAAAGGAGTATGGTGCCATGAGAATCTATACTGGGAATTTAAGCTAAAAGAAAGTCAGGCAAAAAAGAGGGAAGTCAGAAAAGGCCTCCCCAGGGATCTGATACAAAAGCTCAAAACTAAAAGATGAGTTGGAAGGATGCATCCAAAGGCACAGAATGTGCAAAGCCCCTGTGGTAAGAGCAGGCATATCCTTTTCAAAGGGCTGAATGACCAGAGTAGGCAGCAAAAGAAGGATATTCTACCACTCACTGTCTTTGCACCCCCCACTGCACCAGAAGGTCCCTCTGGCAGCAGGATCTGGTGTCACTTTTCCATGCCCAGAGTCTAACACAAAGCCTGACACAAAGAAGGAGCTCAGGAAATAACCTCAGAAGGGAATCGTGTCCAATGGACTGTGCATCTATTTTCTGTGCTTCGTGGGAGTAACCATTAGAGGCTTTATGCAAAATGTCCAGATCTCTTCCCCAGCCCCTGGTCCCTGCCATCTTTCCTACCTCAGTAAGGAGCAACACATTCTACCAGCCACTCGGGAAAAAGCAAAGCAACCATGGGGCATTAATCTGGCCCCATGAAATTCTGGAAAACAGTTAACACCTGGCTGGTCTCACCAAGTGGACGCAGCAGCCACGCCCTGGTTTGTAGCACTTGCCAATCTCCATGGTGTAAAGACTTCCATCGTGGCCAGTGTCAACATGGTGATCAAGGCTCACCAAATGCCTGGACATAGAACAATGGGCTCTGCAGCATGAGGAGGAGCTGGCTTCAGCACAGTCATGGTGAACTGGATTCTTCTGTCTCTCCCACTCTGCATCCAAATCTTCAGGAAATCCTGCTGATTCTACTCAAAGGTGAAAACACACCCAGAGGCCAGGGCCTTCTGACCTCTGCACTGCTCACACCACAGTCCACACCACCCTCGTCTTGTCCCAGGGCTATCGCAGGCACTCCCCTCTGGCCATCCTGTTCATGCTGCTGCTCCCTATTGCACATTTCTAATCCAGTGTCCTGTTATAGCCTAAGTCAGGCCACATGCATCTCCACTCAAAACTCGAGTCCCTGCTCATTTTGCTTGGCCGCAAGCCATGCAGGTGCCTCTGCTGCATATTTGGACACATAGGACATGCAGGGGCACAGGCCCAGGGCGGGGAGCTTGAGGCTTGGAGCAGGTGCTAAGAAAGGGCTTTCCTGGGGAAGCAGTGTCTGAGGCAGTGCTTCTCCGTGGGGATGGTCATTCTACCCAGGGGACCCTGCCAATGTCTGGGCACTGGTAGCTGCGGCTATAGGAAGATGCACTTGGCACCTGTGGGCACAGATGCGGGATGCTCTAAGCACAGGACAGGCCCTACCACAACAGACTAGCGATCCAAATGTCAGCAGTGCCTGGGGAGAAGCCCTGTCCATGCTGAGACTCAAGGGACAGAGCCAAGACAGGCAAAGGTGGCAGGGAGCCGCGCTCCAGCCTGAAGGGTGGCACATTCTGAGGTCCACAGCTGTGCTATTTGCTCACATTATTGCGTCCCAGGCATCTTCACAACGAGCACATGCACTGGGTTCTGTAATTATCTCCGTTTTGCAGATGAGTAAACCGAGGCTTAGAGAGGTAAAAGTGAGCCTGTGAGAGAGCCCTGTGGACAGCTTGGATTTGAACCCTGCTTGCTGTGTCTGTGGGGCCTTGAAAGCAGCTGAGAGAAGACTTGTGGGTCCAGAACTCCACCAGGAGTGATGAAACACGACCCAGGAGGCTGTGAATGCAGAGGGTCTTGAAGGCTGCCTTGGGGAGTCTGAACTTCCCTGAACCGGGCAGCGTGGGATGGGTTTTAAGCACTTCATGGGATCAAAGCTTGCAGAATAAAGGCATGCTCAGGTCACCACCCGCAGCTGCCTCTGGCAAACTCTGGCTCCTGCTCCGTGAGGTGGCGTCTGCCGCAGCACCTCTTCCTTCTACAGAGAGAGCAAGAAAAGCAGCTCACCAGCAAGGGTTCTGGGGGCCCCAAGCTGCCGGGTCTCATTTATCTTGCTTCGTTTCCACTGACAGTTTTAGTAAACCAATTTGGGCTTGATAGTAAAAATAATTCTATCCTCAGGGCCCCTCCGCACTCCTAAGTGTTTGCAAACATTACAGATTGTGTGGAGGAGGGGCAGGAGCTGGCACTGCAGACCTGCGGGCCCGTGGCCCCTGGTGGGCACTGGGCAGTGTTGGCCAAGTCACAGGGACATAAGTCACAGGGGCATCATACTTCACAGGAGCCAGGCGGGTGGGGTGGGTGACTTCCTGTTCTCTTGGCCAGAATAACAGTTGATGTCTGTGCCGTAGGAAAATGGTTCCAATTAGTCACCATTTACTGAGGACCTACTGTGTGCTGCAGCCTGAGCTGCATGGTTTACGTCCATGAGTAATAATGAATGTTGAACATTATTCTGTAGCCATAATAATTACATAAATTACAGCTAATGCAACTAGAGGTAATTACAGAAGAGTAATTATCCAAATCAGGGAGAATGTCTGAGAAGCCCTCATACGGTGTGTCTGGTGTGTCGCTGGGGCTTCACAAATAGAGGCTGTGACAATAAGGCGGGTGTTATCACCACCGCTTTGTGAGCTGGGAAATGATAGCACAGACAAGTTCAGTGGCTTTCTTTAGTTGCACAGCCAGTGAAGGCCGAGCCGGCATCATGGTGTCCACGTTCCTTGACTGGGATGGGCTGTCAGGGGAGCAGCTGATGTCTCAGCACAGACGTGAGGCCTCCAGGCCCGTGGGATCCAGAGATCAGCAAGGGCCCTGGTGCCATAGCCAGCAGCACAGAGAGGCAGGCAGAGTGCTGTGGCTTGGCAGGGAGGTGGAGGTGCTGGGTTTATCTGTGGACTGTGGGGTGTCACAGGGAAGACGACCTCCAGGCAGGATGCTGAGAGGCACCAGAGGCAAGCTGGAAGGAGGAGGGCTCCCAGGAAGGGGCTGGGCAGCAAGGGACAGCAGGCTGTGGCTCGGTGACTGTTTGGAGTGGAGGGGGTGCCCTAAATCACAGCGCCAGTTAGGATCTGCCTGGAGTTGGTGTGGAGGTGGGAAGGGGCAGGGTACAACCTGGACAGGACCCAGGGGCCCAGGTGTAACCTCCTCCACACCCCAAGTGCCTCCCCAACCTACCACGTTACCCCAGCTCCATCACATGCTTCTTTTCCTACCCAAAAAGCACAGCTGGATGTGAACCTTTTAGATACTGAAGGTTAATTCCTCTCTCCCTCCCTCCCTCCCTCCCTCTCTCTCTTTCTCTCTCTCTCCATCTCTGTCTCCGTCTCTCTGTCTCTGTCTCTCTCTCTCCCTTTCTCCCTTTCCCTCTCTCCATCTCTGTATCTCTGTCTCTGTCTCTTTCTCTTTCTCTGTCTCTCTCTCTCTGTCTCTCTCTCTCTGTCTCTCTCTCTCTCAGCTTGGAAAGGAGGATAAGGGAACTAAGGAACTATTAGTAAAGACATCACAGGGAAAAGCTGGGAGGTGCCCAGAGGGGAAGTAACTTACTAAGGATAACACAACAAGTTTAGGGCCAGAAGGGCAACCTGTTGTCGCTGTCAGAGTGCAGCACAGGGGCCAAAGCGTTGAAGAGGAGGCATGGAAGAGTCTAGAACCTAAAAGAGCTGCTTTTAAGTCCAGATCCTGTTGCACTGCAGCTCTGTGACTTCAGATGCCTGCCACACAATGGAATATGTGGTTTTATTTATCCCCCCTCCCCATGCCTGGCACACAGTAAGGGCCCAATAAATGTCTGTGGAATAAAAGAGAGAGGTGTTGCATGTGGAAATTAATGCAATAACATAAAATTCAGAGGTTGCCGGCAAATAATAGCCCTGGCTCACAGTGTAGCCACTCCCTACTTTGTGGCGGCCTTATGCTAAACATTCAGCACGCATTATCTCCTCGGTGACCACAAAACCCAATGTCCACTGTTGACTTGGTGCATACTTTACCTATACTATCTCACTGTATAATATTCATGCAGCCTCATTAGGACTGCATGGGGAAGCTGAGTCTAAGGGAGACCAGATAGCTGGCCCAAGGTCTCACAGCTGCGAAGGACTCAAATCCTGATCTCTGGGACCAAATTCAGTGTGAAAACTGCACAATGCATGGTAGGAAGGTGCTGTCCCTAGCCCCATCTTACAGAAAAATGAACTGAGGGTTAGAGCACTGCCCTTGCTATTCCCTGGGCGCCTACTGCAAATATACATGCAGTGTATCTGGAGGAAGAGTCTCCACCAAGCTCCCACTTACCCTGCCTGGCCCCTAGGGAGCCAGCCTGATGTCTCTCCCTGCAGGTGGGTCCTGCAGAACTCCCTAACCAGGCAATGAAAGCACCTGGAACCTCATGGCTGATAGCTGCACAATATACTTCTCTCCTGCAGCTGCCAACTGCTAAAGCTAAGTTAATGCCAAGCCCTAAAAATTAAATGCCTCATCCAGTGGTACTTCTGCCCTTCAAATGGAGAGCTGCTCTGGGCTATAAGAAATTCTCCTGAGAGGCAGGCCAGGGTGAGGGAGGTTTGAAAGTGCAGGACAGCACTGACCCCAAGAGAACAGAATTCAAATACCAGCAGAAATCACAGGAGAAACCACCACAATAGAAATACAACTGGATGATCCAGACTCACCAGCCCAGGACTTCTCTAAAGCTCAAAGTTCCAAGGGATTCATAAGGGCACATCAAAGTTCATGTAGTTCTGATTCCATTG